TGTTGCAGTGGTGCCTGTTGCTGCTGCTGCTGCACGTGAGCATTGGTACCGTGTTTCACGGTGGCGTGTCCTTGTTCCTGTGTCCGGTTGTGGAGTGGCGCTTTGCTGCCGTTTTGTGCCTGGGGATTGCGTGGGGTTTTTGTCCCTGCCTGATTGTCCACCCCTGGTTGTTCTCCTGGTTTTTTTTTTTTTTTTTTTTGTGCTTCTGCTCTTTCTTCCTGCCTCTTCTGCAGCAGGAATGTTCTGCGTGTGTTCTTAGGCGTTGGTCAGCCTGTGTCCTGTGATGTGCTTCTTTGTCTCGGTCTGTTGCAGTTGTTCGTGCCCCTTGGTTCGGGTCCTGTTCTGGCGGCGACCCTTCCGCCTTCTTTGGTTTTCCTAGCTTGCCCTGCCGGTTGTTGTTGTTTTATTTTTTGGGGGGGTTCTTGCGATGTCTCGCGTCGGACCCGTCGTTTCTGAACTCCTGGCGGGCTTGCATGCTTCGGAGTTTTTCTGTTCGGCAGACGTTCCATCTCCTTGTGCCGCCTGGGTTTCGGTGGTCGCGCCCGAGATCTTCTCGCGGCTCCGCCTTTTTCCTGGGCTCGGGGGGGCCTTGTCGGGGCTGCTTATGTTCTGCCTCGTGGTCTCGCCTCCGGTTGGTGGTCGGGTGGCTTCGTGGTAGGTGTCCCACCTGCGTGCTTTCTTGGCGGCAGTATGGGGTATTTTGGCGGTCCTTCCTTTTCCTGTCCCTTCTTCGGTGGGTCCTTCTTGTTGGCTTGGTTTACTCTCGGCTTGGTTTTCTAGTGGGGGTTGGGGGCCGTCGTCTTGCCACATACTGTCGCCTCTTTTCGTGCGGCGCAGGCGGAGCCGCTTCAGCTTGCTTTCGGTCTTGGTGTTGCTTCTGCACCGTTAGTCAGCTGTCTTGTGCGTCATTTCACCTCCGGCCTGTTCGTGCGCCGCTTGCACCATCCTGGTCTCTGGTCAGCGTGCTCTGTCTTCTCCTCGGTTGGTAGTGCCCCTTCGGTTCCGGTGTGTTTTTTCGTCGGCTCTTTCCTTTGGGCCTTTGCCTCTGGGGGTCGGTTCGCTGTGTTTTCTTGCTCCTTCGGTTTTAGCGTTTTGGTTGTTTGATGGCAGCAGTCTCCATCTTTTCTGGCGCGGGGTGGGGCTGCTGCATTCTGGAGGGGTCCAGGGTTTGTTGGTGCTTTGTTGGTCGGGCCGGGGGTGTGTCGTTTTTGTGTTCAGTGGCGGCCCTCTGCTGTTGTTTGCGTGCCACGGCGTTTGGGTCCGGAGCGCGTTTTGCGTTGATCCGGTTCTGTTCTTCCCGGTTCGCGGGTGATGGTGTCCCGGGTGGTCAGCCGTGTTCTTGCGGCTAAGCTGCCTGTGTTCTTCCCTCATGCCTGTGGCGTTCGTGGCTTCGCTGCTCTCGCTGCCGTCTGGGCGACGTGGCCTTGCAGTCTTTCGGGCATGGATTTTTGGTGTTCGTGCAGGGGCCTTGCTGCTCGTGGTTCTCGTGTTGTTCCCGGGATTTTCGGGGCTGTGGCGCCTTGGGTTGGCGTTTGCTGCCGGTTGTCTCGCCTCCTTGGGGGGTGCGTGGTGTCCGCCTCCCGGTTTTGTCCCTTTGACCTTCCTCTGTGGGTAGTTAGCTCCGGGGAGCCGACGGGGCTCCCCCCAGAAAACCAGCGTTGAATGTAATGAAACGCCATTTTCTGGGTGAGACCCGGAGGCTCCCCGGCAACCCTCCCTCCCTCCGGTCGGCGTTTTTCGCGTGTTTTGACATCCAGCCTCAGAACTGATGGGTGGATAGCCGGCGTGGGAGGTCTGGGGCTCCCCCTTCCCCCTCCCGGGGAGGGGGGAGCTGCGCAGACAGCGGCGCGGTGACGTATGACGTCATACTAGTTTCCGTGTTTTCTGTTGAAGAGTTCTATTCACTAGTTCGGCTTAGGTAGCAATTTTCACCAGAATAGGGGTTTGTTTTGGAATGCTTACCTTTCTGGATGCTTGACCCGGTCGATGGCAGACATAGAATGCTTCCAACCACACGGGGGTTTCTATAGGCCATTGCTCCCCTTGCCTCTCTGAGGGGGCCAGGTTCTGGCTCGTGGTCCCCGGTAGGCCCTAGAACTCCATACACATGACTGATGCCAAAGTCTGACATTAGCATATCAGCCGGTAAAGCTCCGGGGAGCCTCCGGGTCTCACCCAGAAAATGGCGTTTCATTACATTCAACGCTGGTTTTTTTTTAATGCGGGTGTCCAAAATCATCATTTCTATGGTGATCAGGTGGGTTCGTTGTTGGTGTCCCACGTGAGAGCTTCGTCTCGGCAACAGTATGAAGTTTCATGGCGTCTTTTTGCCATTTTCTTGCTGATCATAGGTGTACTTTGCTCTTTGGAATCGGGTTGTTTTGTCCTTCCTTTCTTGGCTTTTTCAGGACCGTCATTTAATGCCTAATACTGTCGCCTCGTATCGTGCCGCGCTGGCAGAGCCGCTCCAGCTAGCGTTCGGTATGAACATCACTTCTGCCCTGTTCCACAAGGTTTCTCGTGCTATATTTCACCTCTGGCCTGCTCATTCACGTCCTGAGCCGTCTTGGTCCTTGGACAGGGTGCTCTCCTATCTTTCCTCTCCTCGGTTTGTGGTGGCCCCTTCAGTTGAAGATTGTTTTTCTATGGCTTTGTTTTTCCTGTTGGCATTGGCCTCTGGGGGTCGGGTAGGGGAGCTTCATGCTCTCCTTTGGCACAGGGGTTTTTCTGCCTTTTGGTCCTGGTGGTAGGTTTTTTGTTTGTAGCCATCTCCATCTTTTCTGGCAATGATTGGGACTGCTGCTTTCCGGAGGGGTCCTTGGGTCATTGATGCTTGGTTGGTTAGGCCGGGGGTGCATCATGTGTTGTGTCCAGTTGCGACTCTCCGCTGTTATCTGCGTGCCTCATGGCCTTTGTGGCCATGGGATGCGTTTTGAGTTGACCGGTTTCCTTCCTTCCTTCTGTGTTCCAGGGTTCGGGTCTCCCAGGTCGTCCACAGGGTTATTAAGCCTGTGGTCTATCCTCACGCCCACGACATTCGGAAATTTGCAGCTTTGGCTGCCGTATTTGGTAACATTTTTGGACTCATATTCGGGCACATGGATTTTGGAAGTCGAACAGGGTCCTGGCTGCCCGTTATTAGGCGAACTTTCCTGCTCCTCAGCGTTCTTGTGTTGCTTTGGGTTGCAGGTTGCAGCCAGTTGTCTCGACTTAGCGCTGAGGAGTTTGTGGCTGCCGCCTCCCGGGTAAGTCCCTATTTTTCTTCTCTTTGGGTATGTAGCTCCAGGGAGCCGTAGGGGCTCCCCACAGAAAACCAACGTTGAATGTAATGAAACACCATTTTCTGGGTGAGCTCCAGAGGCTCCTTGGCAACCCTCCCTCCCACCGGTTGGCCGTTTTTTCGCGTTGGTTGAAGTCTAGTTTCCAAACTGAAGGCAGCCGGTGCAGTGAGATCCAGGGAGGGGAGGGCTGCGCAGACAACCGGCGGGGAAGTAAATTGTGATAATTGCTTCTTTGCTTGTTTCCTTGGGATTGTAGGGAGTTCTCTACCTCTCTGTTCGGTTTTGTTTTAGTTTTTACCATGTGGGGTTTGTTTTGTTATGCCTACCTTTCTGGATGCCTAACCCCGGTCGATGGCAGATAAGGAAAACCCCTAACCACAACGGGGTTTTCCAGGGCCATTGCTCCCGAAACCTCTCCGAAGGGACCAGGTTCTGGCGCTGATCCCTGGTAGGTCTGAACTCCATAGCTAATGTCCCGGTGTAATATAACATACATTAGCCCGATAAGCTCCAGGTAGCCTCTGGGGCTCACCCAGAAAATGGCATTTTATTACATTCAACGCTGTTTTTTTTGCCAGACTTCCCCGCCCTATAGCGGGCAAAATATGTCGCTTATGATTTTTTTATTATTTTTTTCGTGATCAGGGAACACAAATTAACAGGTTTACAAGATTTTTATTTTTTATTTTTTTGGTATGCGCCTGTCGGTGACAATGGCCAAATAGCCCTTAGCAACACAAGGGTTAAATGACTGACAAGTTATATTCCAGGGAAACCAGTGGGTAAGGCTTACCATGATCTATGGGAAGGGAAAGCTCTCAGCCTGTTAATAAGAGTCAGCAGTGATATGTTCCTGATCCACCTGTGTAAAAAACAAAAAAATGACATACAAAGCATCTACGAATAATAGTCAGATGACCCAATACTTTGTAAGCATAACAAAGCAAAAATTATAAAGTGGTTTATGAGGACCTTCAAATTCAAAATTTGCCACCACTTATTTTTCTTTTAAAATCATTTGTTTCCTGCCTTGAATACTGCTCAGAACTTACCTTCTCTTTCAACGAAATAGAGAGTTTTAAAAATAGAAGGAATACAGAGAACATGTACTGCATGTAGAGACAGATACCTTAATTACTTGGGCTGTTTCAAAGCACTCAAAATGTACTCCTTGGGTAGGAGATGAGATTGGTATCACGTAATATATATAATGTATTGCACATGGAAGGTGGATGAAGGTTAGTTCCCAAATATGTACATCTAGTGGTGAGCTAGCAGTACAAAGCAGTAGTTTGGGCCAGGTAATAATTGTTTGTGTTGACCAAACCACACCACACTATAAATAAAGTTGTCTCTCTTGGTGTGCTTTCTGGTGGTTTTTCTATTAGTTACTATGGTGATCCTAGATCACAGGTATAGGTCTCTGGTAGGTACTTGTGAATCATTAGAGTCTTGTGTGGTAATGAAGGTTTGGCAGGTATACAAGTGTGTTGCTTGAGAAGATGCCAAGAGATCCACTAGAAAGAGGCTTATTAATACATTCAATGCTGGTTTGTTTGTTAGGATGACCTAGTGACAAATTACCCTTTCTCAGCTCACCACAGCCACATTATAAAAGTTTAAAAATTTTCAAAAAAACTCGTTCATAAGAACAAATTCTGCATTGGGGGATGGACCAATGAACTTATTTATTATAGTGTTTCCATTGCTATATTTCAGACTTGATTTAGAGATCCTGCAAGCAGAAATGAGTGGAAGCACTGTTTCGGGTGACTCTGGGGTCTCCTCCCTACAGGTCAAGCAGCTGGAGCAGCAGAACACACGTCTGCGGGATACTCTTGTCAAGTTAGTAACACTATGTATGCACTTATAAAGAAAATGGTATCCAAGTGATAAGAAACTGCAATGCTACACAAACATTGTGGTTTATTATTAAAATAATATTGTAAATATACAGTACTGCCTGTTAATGTCATTTCCCAGTTGTTACTCCTGAGAAGGTAGAAATACTGTGAAACATTGAGTATTGGTATCTTCAGTTACACTGGTATTTTTGTCCAATACTATACTATACAGCGAGTTAGTTACAAGCATGGTTGTACGAGTATAGTTCAAATAAGGAATGACATTGTCAGGGAAAGATGTGGAGGTAAAAAGTTTGTATATTATAAGATTGGGGAGAATGTTACTAAGATGGTTGAGTCACACTGAATGGATGTTGATGAGTGGTAAAGAGAATGTATGCAAAGGAATTTGACAGTAGGAGAATGAATGAAAGGTAGAGATGATTGGCAGACATGGAGAAGAAGTGTTAATATAGCACAGAGAACTGTTCGTAAGCAGTAACCTTAATCATTTGATGTAACTATCAAATGATTAAGGTTACTGTTAGGCTAGACTAAGATTACAATTGTACATCTACTTCCTTAACCCTTGAACAGCAGCTAAGGAGGCTATGGTCATACCTGCCTGTGTGCAAACTAATTAAAAATTCTAAAAAATTATTTTTCGTTATAGAATTATTAATTTGTATGCAAAATGTAAGAAAAACACAAAAGTAAGTGAATATTTATAATTTCACTGGGTGGAGACCTGCTGAAAAGTTACATGGTGGCTGTGTCCAATACCTTTAAACACCCGGTGTCTGACTCTGCTGATGCTTCCTGTTTTACCCTCAGATGTTTCACTGGTCGTTTATCACTTGTTTCTCTTTATTTATATCGACAGAGGGCTGTTATATCCATATTTGCATCATACATGTGAAACCCAGATAATAATGGTTTAAATCGTCAAATGATGTTGATCGTATTTACCTAATAACATTCATTTTGATAACCACATTTACCCAATACATGTAACCATGAAATGGTAGCAGGATTTTGTTCGTAGGTCTAGGTAAACTGCATTGCAAAAACATAGAGCTATTATATCCATATTCTAGTCATACAAGTAAAACCCAGACCGTAATTGTTTAAATAGTTGTATGACATTGACCACAATACCCTGTGAATCAACTTACGATGATAACCATTGTCCAAAGGTTAATTTACTTGTACCTTTTCTAGTATACTAAACTGGTACTGGACCAAGCTTATTGAGGTCCTCCTTGCCATGGCTAAGGCTATCCATACAGTCATCTATCTAGTTGCTTGTCACACCCAACAGTGCCTAATTCATTTGTTTGAGTGATGTGCATGGTTATATTTTCAGAATTTATTATCTAGTTTAAGCTTTTATCCATTGAAAATGATTTGGGTGTAATATTTTATAATACATTACATATAATCTTCTATCTATATATCTCATACCTGGCACTGTAAGGGAGAGTTGCTTTCATCATTAATACAAATTTTAAGACATGCCATGCCTGTCTTAGCATTACCTAATCCATAATTTTCTTTGGTGTATTAAAGATGTTGCTTTATTTTGAATCCAAAAGATAAGAAAATTTTTAATTTTAATTCAATCCAGTCCCCCATAAAAAGCACTTCTGTACAAAATCATGTTTTATACAGTGTCAACCTTTAGGTTACTCTCCCCATTACCTGTACAAATTGCTGTAATATAATTACAGCACATTATAATGATATTGACACACTCCATTGCACAGAATGCGTGACCTCTCAGCACACGACAAACATGAACTACAGAAACTGCAGAAAGACATGGAAACTAAGAAGACTGAACTTGGTGATGTTGCTCGTGCCAAAGACAAGTTGGCCGTACAGGTTGCTGAGCTGGAACAAACCATCTCGGATCTTCAGGATCAGGTGTGTTGACTTGCCAAATGTTTCTACCGTACAAAATGGGAAAATAATTCTTTACTTGATAATTATAGAAATTGTATGATTTATGATTTAAATATAATGTGATGCAACAAGATTTCTGGTTGAATATTAAGGATTATCTTTGGGTGAGGAGCTTGATTAAACCTTTTACTGTGAAACTTTACTTTTCTCCAGGGGGATCTAGAAAATAGTTACCGAACCTTTTTAATTTGTGTGTAGAGGGAGGAGTCCTAGGTAGAATAGTAAAGTGTAAGTAGAGGGGTTGTAGATAGCATAGTAATGTGTCAGTAGAGGGGGATCCTAGGTAGAGGAACTGTGTATCAATAGAGAGGTTGTTGGTAGAAGAGTAAAGTATCTATATGGTCCTGTATCAATAGGGAGGTCCTTGGTGTAATATATATATTATACATACAGTGGTACCTCGCATAACGATTGCCCCAAAAGACGAATATTTTGGGTAACGAACGGCCCGATCGCTGTCAAATCGTCTCGTATGACGAACGCTGGTTTGAGTAACGTCAACACCACATGGTGGGGTCGCGCTGCTTCATGCACATTCTTAGACGCCTCCGACGATGCACATAAATTATGTTGTTCTTGTTTAAAGATGCTAATGATGCTGGGATATAAAAGGGTGACTGCTGAGATGTTGCAAAGCATTGACGTTTTTGTAGGAAAAAAGAAATGAAATGTCTGATATACAACAAATGCCAAAAAAGTTCGTTCGGTGTTCGGCAGGTAGGCTGCTCCATTATAACAATCTTTCTTTGTTTCAAATGTGTTCCATTTGTTTTTTATTTGTCATTTACGTCTCAATAATGGAGAAGCCTACCTTACATACACTGAATAAACCATTATGACATTTTCCTTTCTTCAAATGTGTTCAATATTTATTTTTCATTTGTCTTATAGCAAAAGGTTCGTTCAGTGGTCGGCAGGTAGGCTGCTCCATGTTTCTTACATACAAAAAACGTAAATAATAAAAAAATTGAAGAATTTTGAAAACCAGTACAAATGTCAAAAAGGTTCGTTCGGTGGTCTACAGGTCGGCTGCTCCATGTTTCTTAAAAAAAAAAACGAAAAATAAAAGAACTGTTGAAACAATTTGAAAATTGGACAAATGTCATAAAGGTTCGTTCAGTGTTTGTCGGGTAGGCTGCTCCATTATTGAGACGTAAGTGACAAATACAAAACAAATGGAACACATTTGAAACAAAGAAAGATTGTCATAATGGAGCAGCCTACCCAACAAACACTGAACGAACCTTTAGCTATAACGAATATGAAAGACAAGGGCTGCTGGCTGGGTTAGTACCGCGTGAGCAACCATTTGTGGCACACGTGCCTCTGGCTCTCAAACACCTGTCCCACACGGTGTTGAAAGACTGTGCTCAGTGGGTGCAATTCAGACCCTATTGTTTGAAGAACATAAGGGTCATAACATTGGTGAAGCTAGGCGCAATAAGGGCTTAACACAACGGTCGGATGCCAGTGATACAGCACCTATGAGGATGATACAGCGAGCGTATCCAGGTGTAGCTCTGAGCCCCACCCTTGCCATCTCTAATGTATATAGATGATACATAGGTGAATCGTTTTCTGCGTTCAGTGATGATGCATCTGATACAAGTAGCATAGATGAACAGTGTTAGCGGCTTCCATGGTGGTGGTGTTCATTGATATTTTCAAGAATACCTGAATCTTTTCCTGACTGATGGACACTCTTTGAGGCTAGCTGAATCTCTTCCTGACTGATGGACACTCTTTGAGGCTAGCTGAATCTCTTCCTGTGTGGGACCTTACAAAGCGATCTTTTCAAGACTACCTTACAAAGTGAGCTTTTCCTATAATCGTTTCAATACTACTTTATGCTTTACAAGCTTGGCTACATACCACCTACAAGTACTAAAGCCAAGGATACACGCGAGTGCGTTATTTGCAAGCACACAGAACGATGAAACAGGAAACAAAAATCTATCTGTAGCTGGTGCAAGGAGAGCAAAGTCGCGCTGTGTACCATGGACTACTTCGTTGACTATTATGCACCTCCAAAGTACTGAGTGTGTAATACAGTGTGTTACTGTGTAAATAGTATGTGAAACTGTACATATTGTAATATTAGTGAATTTTTACCACGTAATATTGTGACAATAAACATTTATTGTGGACACATTACTGACACATGTATCACAGTTTCATGGAAAATTATGAACATTCTACTGTATACATATTGTAAAGGTCACAAATATGCATCATATACGATAAAAGAAACAAATAAAACCGCATTGGAAATGCATAGAAAAAAATATTTGAAAATATATTTGAGGCAACACGCGGTGCTTGAATGGCCTGCGCGACCGTGTCTGGGAGCTTCACACACGGGCGACCAGCCCCTGATGACGTCACAGCGCACCTTGTCCACGCCCTCACAGCCAAAGTAAGTGGAATTTGGTAATTATTTTTACATAGACATGTTCAGGGATGGTAATTTATCATTTTACAAAGAAAAATTATATTTTGGGGAACATTTGATGTCATGCACACTGGGGATATTTCACAATAAACACAGTGCATCACACTGGTTACATGGGGGACACTCGTTTTGTATGACGTCCGTTTCACATGACGAACATGGAACGGATTAAATTCGTTATGCGAGGTACCACTGTATATATATATATATATATATATATATATATATATATATATATATATATATATATATATATATATTACATATATATTACATATATATTACATATATATTACATATATATTACATATATATATATATATATATATATATATATCTATATAATATATATATATATATATCTATATGCAGAATAACCACATATGAAAAATAGAAAATGCTTAACGCGTTTTCGGCTAATTCGCCTTCATCAGAGCAAAGTAGAATGAAGATAAGATTGCTGATCAGACCTTTATATCCGCCTGGGCAGATCACCTGACCACCAAAAATAAGTGGAGGAAAGGAATTATAAGAATGAAGGTAACTGCAGAAGGCCTATTGGCCCATACAAGGCAGCTCCTATTAATATCTCCAAGTGCCATACGTGTTTAAATGATTGCTATATTGTTTTGACGTGCTATATTGAGGCTTAAATAGGGATCCAACTTGTACATACCAGGGCTCACATTAAGGCTGTTGTTACAATGTTTGATCAGAGCAGACTCGATCACGTTTCGTTCAACAAAATCCTTACTTTTAACAATACATTTTGCCCCTGTGAAGTCGATAGAATGATTACATAAACTGGAATGTAAATACAATGCACTGGATTGCTGGGCTGTACGAATAGCGTATGAATGCTGTTTTAAACGCGAGGAAAGAGATTTACCTGTCTGGCCGATGTAAACACATGCACACTCATTACAAGGGATGGAATACACACAACCTGCTACAGACGAGGGCGAGTTCTTAATTAACATGGACTTAACTGTATTATCATTTTTGAACACTAGTTTAATATTAAGGTTCTTCAGGGCTGGGGCAAGATTTACTAGACCCTCAGAATATGGTAATACCAACGAATTTTTCAGTTCTGGTTTCGACTTAGTAGTCTGTTTGTAGAAAGTCCTTTTTGCTTGACCAAACGCAAGATCCAAGATCGATTTTGGGTATTTTAACTTCTTCCCAATTTCAAATATATTTGCTATTTCTTCATCGAAAAATTTTTCAAACAAAAGTCACGAACAATTTCTTTAGTATATCACCATCCATGTATTTAAATGCAATTCTGAAGTTAGAAAGCATAGCGTAGGCTCCTCGCACAACGTTCTTTTTTGACTTTGTGTTCTATATATATATATATATATAATATATATATATATATATATATATATATATATATATATATATATATATATATTACATATATATATATATATATAATATATATATATATATATATATATATATATATATATATATATATAATATATATAATATATATATATATATATATATATATATATATATATATATATATATATATATATATATATATATATATATATATATATATATATATATATATATATATATATATATATATATATATATATATATATATATATATACATATATATGTAATATATATAATATATATATATATATATATATATATATATATATATATATATATATATATATATATATATGTAATATATATAATATATATATATATATATATATATATATATATATATATATATATATATATATATATATATATATATATATATATATTATATATATGTATATAGAACACAAAGTCAAAAAAGAACGTTGTGCGAGGAGCCTACGCTATGCTTTCTAACTTCAGAATTGCATTTAAATACATGGATGGTGATATACTAAAGAAATTGTTCGTGACTTTTGTTAGGCCAAAGCTAGAATATGCAGCTGTTGTGTGGTGCCCATATCTTAAGAAGCACATCAACAAACTGGAAAAGGTGCAAAGACATGCTACTAAGTGGCTCCCAGAACTGAAGGGCAAGAGCTACGAGGAGAGGTTAGAAGCATTAAATATGCCAAAACTAGAAGACAGAAGAAAAAGAGGTGATATGATCACTACGTACAAAATAGTAACAGGAATTGATAAAATCGACAGGGAAGACTTCCTGAGACCTGGAACTTCAAGAACAAGAGGTCACAGATTTAAACTAGCTAAACACAGATGCCGAAGAAATATAAGAAAATTCACCTTCGCAAATAGAGTGGTAGACGGTTGGAACAAGTTAAGTGAGAAGGTGGTGGAGGCCAAGACCGTCAGTAGTTTCAAAGCGTTATATGACAAAGAGTGCTGGGAAGACGGGACACCACGAGCGTAGCTCTCATCCTGTAACTACACTTAGGTAATTACACTTAGGTAATTACACACACAGTGTCAGAGTGATTGACAAATGGAATGCATTTGGAAGTGATGTGGTGGAGGCTGACTCCATACACAGTTTCAAA